AGAAGCTTATCATTTTTTAAGAGTGTGTGATTTTATGAGTCTTACAAAGGGTTCACTTATCCCAGATGTTGTTGTGTTTTTACTGGAGATGAGTAGCAACAGTTATGTTAAGATATTATTTAGATTAAAACTAATCATTTGGGATAAATGAGGGATACACATGTACACATATGCAATATTTTGGTTATGGATTTGACAATGCCTATATTTTGTACAGAATAATATAACTGTATTTGATATGATATATTTGTAAAGGAATAGGAATTTATACAAAAGAAGGTAAATATATTCGTTTTTATTCTGCTTACACTTTTTTGAATGAAGTCCATACTTTATAAGGATTAATGATTTTGAAATATCTACCTTCTCTCAGTATATTGTGAGTAAATAATGTGAGAGATTCAAGGAAAGACAAGATAGCTTGAAAATATTTCATCATTTGATTTATTCTCGTAAGATTTTGGCTCACATGGGAACTATTAACTCACTTTAATCTTGCAGTGTTCATATATTCACGTCATGTAGTCGTGTATCGTTTTATGGCATTCCAACAGTTGTTACAAGCGCGAAATCTGATTACGTTCTATATTCTTCCTAAAGTGAGGCGATAAAACTTAACAAAAATGTGTTTCCAATTTAGTTTATGACTAAGAAACACTAATAATTTACTCAAGGAACTTTGCAGGTTTGATTTATATCTGATTACATATTTTTACGATACAGTATAAAATCTCAGTACATATTTCATACGAATTAAGGGGAGGTGGGAGAGGGGAAACGGGGGATGTTTTGGGGATGTAAATTTTGTTCTGCACAAGTCAGTCTTGTTTCAACTCTCGGGAGCCCCCCCCCCACTTCCACTGTCGCTCTCTCCTGTGCCTCCAGAGTTTGTCTGAGGTGTACAGAGGGGGGGAGGGAAGGGGGGGGGGGAATGGGCCACAAAGGCTCAAAGCAAGACTACAGAATATATACCTGAACAATGATAATAAATGGTTTGATATTTATAGTATTTAGAACCCTACATGACCCTACTCATGTAAAAATACATGTCTGATTACTGCCTAAAGTAATACATTTAGAGATTGCATGCAGAATGACACATTGTATTGATATATTACTACCTGTACACGTAGTTGCTTAATAAGGACAAATCACAAAGGGCAATACCAGAAAATAAGGAATGAAAACAAACCCCCAGATACCATAATGAATACTGTATTTAACTTAAAGCAGCTACATAATCTCAAATATTTGTTAATCGAATGCTACTTAGGGGTTACAATAGTTTCTTAAAGTAGGCAAAGTGTTGGAAAGCAATAGGCTAAATTGATAATTATTACTACTGATCCAAATTGTCAATAAAAGATATAATATAATAAAAAAATTAACGTTTTATGGAAAATATTTCAATATTCCTCGAAGCAACAGGTCATTTTGACATTTATCTCCTATTGGTTGCTGTTGAATCAGTCCTTTTCTATAATCAACCCTAAATGTATAATTTGTCATAATCTTATTATATAATCTCAAATGAATATTGCTTGAATCTGATGCCCATACATAGGTCAAACGTAATTGTTATAATGTTAACCAAAGGTTAGTATTGTTTATCTTAATGAACTTCTATGTACAGTAACACACATATGTCTAAACACATGTTATTATGTAATTAAATATAATACATATGATAGACAAATTATTTATCTCTTTTAATTAGAAACCATTACTTGGATTGATAAGGATGCAGTTTGGATGTATTCATGTCTGATTTTCTTGTTATTTTAAATGTCTTTCTATAGACAGTGTTTTATTTTCTTAATTTGGCATTCTGAAAATCTTAATCGATTAACTTTTTGACTCTATTTGGAAATATAATTGACAGTAATTGGAGGTACTCTCAATTAATTGGATATAAGATTGATTGGTGCTTAGTGTCACATTCAATTTGTGAAATATTTTAGAATAGTGATATTGAAATGAACTTGTAATCTAATTATGTCAACTAATGTAACAATTGACATATATATCCTTAGTTATTTTTGGAACTTACATCTCCCCAAAGACTAAGAGCAAAATAATTTCCAAAGAGAGACTACCACATCACTAATAACTATTTCCCCTGTCATTGATTAGAGAGAGAGAGCAGAGAGAAAGAGAGAGGGGGAGAAGGAGAGGGGGAGGTGGAGCGAGAAGGAGAGAGGGGGAGAAAGATAGGGGGGGGGGAAGAAAGAGAGAGGGGGAGAAAGAGAGAGTTATTGGGAGGAGGGTACTTGAGATTAGGGTCAGAGTCTGATATGCGATATCCTCAAACATGGGGAATACACATCTTTGCACACTCCGTCTTCACTGCGTTCACTTCAACCGACCGACCCGAGCCGAGTGAACGAAGATAGGGAATACATTGCAGAGATGAAATATGTCCAATCTATATTGATTCACCTCCAATTTCGTAATGTTGTCCTCAAACAAAACCAGTTCACTAAGATAAGATTCTAACTTATTGTAAATTGATGAAATTACTTTGCTTGGAATATTCAATAATTCTATTCTAAGGAGCCTTAATTCTATAAACCCACTAAAATATGGATGCCCCTCTCTAAAGCAAAGTTACATGGTAAGTCAATTAACAATATGAGATAATAATAGCCTAATGTCTCAGGCGCTTGAAGTCATGGCTACTTTCTCTTGTAGAAGGAAAATATTGATGTTCACGTTGTCATGGGAATGGTGAAATTAGTTCAGTTGTTTAACTGCACCCAAAAGGCTGATTTTTTGGTTGAAGATTTTTGGTGCCATTGTTGATCCCATAGTCTCCTGAAGGGGAATCTCCGTAACCAAGTAAATCTCCCTTCTCAAATGTTTTTCTCCTTAGGTTTATTCCTTACTGTTATAAATCATAAGATACCATGGGGTTTCCAAAGTACAGGAAATGCATAGAGGGAACCTTATGAGATACATTGGTCCAAGGAACCCCAAAATATCTCCAAAATAAAAGTAAAGGTTAAGGAACTATTCATAAGGTCTCAGAAAATAAGTCCTTCTCTCTCAATACATTAATATGATTATCTCCATGGATTTGATTTGATTGACAGATCTAATTAAACTGATAATAGGAGAATTAATCTTATTGATACCCTGTGGTCAATAACTAGTGTAACTCCCTCTGACTACAACCAGTAATGTTAAAGATTGACATTTAACCAATCTGAGAGCACTGTTACAGTAGTATCTGATCATTTATTTTAACATAAATGTATAAAGGCAAGATCATTAGTAAAAACCGAGTTTGATAGTCTGTTATATCATTGGAAGTTAGCAATTTATCGGTCAGTTACAGAGTGTAAGGTTGTCCACTCTTGCACAGGGTATCATATTGGAGGCCTTTAGTCTGGAAGTGACCCTTATAGAATTTGAAATATTCCTCAGTGCAGATGATAGCACCAAAGGAAATTACATCAAAGCAGATGTCAAAACAAATTAGAGCCTCATGATGCAACTTGGCATTCCTTGCTCGGCTTCTAATTTGATGCATATTCCAAAATTTTAGTTTTGTATCTTGTCCCTGCCATCCCCCTCCCTCCTCTAATTATGAAGGAGAGCTATGTAGGGGGATCCTCGCTCCTCCAGTTATGAAGGAGAGCTATGTAGCAGGATGCTGCAAGACTGTTCAATATTTTAGTCTCCATAGCAATAACATAAATGGCCTCTGAGAATTGGACCTTGACACTTTGTCTCTCTCCAGTCAAAGCAATAATTACAACAGAGACATCCATGTAATAATAACAATTGCACAAGACTTTCCAAAATGTCGTTTGACTTTTATGAATCTATACCTGAACTTCTCATCCTTGGCAAATCCATTCATGAACCTTTCCAAAAATTCATAACATTTTTGTAGTGTGTAACATGTCTGGAATCGATAACTGGAAATAACTATTTTGGAGGTTACTACAAAAGCAATTGCATGTCAGTGGTGATATAGATGAGTAAGAGATTGTTATCAATGTTATAAGTGAATACCTCCATGATGATGAATATGAAGGGCTTAGGGATGGACTCTTAACCTTTATTAGAAAATATATATATATTGCAACTATTTTGAACTTAATATTTGTTCTATATTCTATGGTTTATAGGTCATTGCAATCACAACACATATCAATTCCTGGAAAAAATTTCAGAAATTGAGGCCTTTTTTCTTCCGGCCTATTTTCTCACAAATGATGCCAGTATTTAAAGCACTTTGAAGATATGTGCCAGTGCCTCTTGTTTATGGACAACTCTGTAGGTTTTATCATGGATGCAATAAGTGATAGTCACAATAGAAGATTTCTTAGTTATATCACATTTGAAGACAACTTCTGGTATATATGATGATACACATGTACAACTGTGTCTATATATCAAATGGGGTCAGTTTGCCCATTTGCAACATTTTGAACTGAAAGCATAAGGATACAGCACAATTACAAGGGTAGTGAGTACAAAACATCCTCTTAATACAAATTACATGTTTCAGGATAAGCTTTCTTATAGAAAAATTGGCTCAGTTTGGTGCACAGACACAGGATAAATGCCTATAAAGATCCATAGTTGGATGACTTATTAGCCAATTTTGGGGTCTGTGTATGAGACTGAGAATTGTAAGATTAGTTATCCTGGAGGATCTTTCAGATGTTGAATTTGATGGATTGAGGTTTTTGAAACATATTTTTGATTTATAGATTTCGTGTAGAATAACTGACATAACAGGAAGGATTTTGTTTTTGTGAATTATTTGTTTTTCTGACTTTTAACTTTGATATTTTTATTTAGGTTCAGATTATTACGACCCCCAAAGAAGACGCATTAATTCATAATTGGTTTATTTTTATTTTTTCAATTTTTTAGAATATGAAGCGTAAATATGGAGAATTCCATAGAAGGACTTCCTGAATTTTTACGTACTCTCTAATTTTTGGTCACCCTGTGTTAATGTAGTTTTCATCGTGTATTTACAGTTTTGACGATGAGAGCTCGATCAGCAGTGGAGAGATCAGCGACTCAATCGACAACTTGAGCACAGATGATAATATCGTCAATGCCGTCTCAGCTCCAGCCAATCAGGATGAGTATACACATTACAGTGGATCTCCAAACAACCACAAAAATACAAATCAGTTGAATCAGAAACATTATAACTCATTGGATTCTGCGTCTAATTCACCGTATATGCGATATAAAAAAGACGACAGTAGAAAATTGAATATTTTATCTGATTCAGAGATAGATACGGGACCCTGGGAACGAAGGAATGATTTAAAATCAAACTTTGGCGGTAGATTCAGACATGATTATGTTTCAGTGGCACCTGTTTTGAAAAACTCTGCCGGGTCTCAATCAGATATTGTTAAATACTCTGGGGGTCAGTCGACAGCTGAATTAACTACCTCCCCCAGGCCGGCAGCAAATGCACGGTCAAATGTTATGAAACAGGACTCGGGTACCAACACAGATACGTCAAGTTTTATTCGCAAAGTGCCAAATCAGAGAGGAGTGAGCTCTGGAATGCAACCTCCAGGTGCCGTGCAATACGCTTATAGGCGCCAGGCGGGGAATGTAGCAATACCAACAGCAGGCGGAAAATACACACAGAGACTCAGTAACATGCAGGGGACACGATTGGCTAATCCAGATGGTAGCCCGAGGGTGTATGCTTACAAGAAATCACCTGGGAATGAATCGGCACCCGAGATGTACAGCACGAGTACTTTAGAACGTATGAGGAATCGGGGAATTATCCCGCAATCAAAAACTCAGATTGGAATATCAAATAGAGATGGTCACCAAGGGCAACAGTTACATGGAGACATGGAACAATATCGATCAAACACGCTTGGAAGGAAACGCCCAGATAGCTCCCTCAAGGAGAAACTATTCGGCAGTCGCAATAGCCTAAATAAAGGTCAGACTGGCCAAGGAGGTCTATCTAGCGACACTATAATCTCAAATCCACATGCCACACTCAGCACAAAAAAAGCCGAAGGTCAAGGTCAACCAGGACAGCGACCGGCTGATAATCAGGGCCGCAGAAGCTTGTCATATATCAATAACTACCTCAGTCCTGATTTGTCGGGAAATCGCCCAGCTAGCACTAGTAGCCCGATTGGATGGATGAAAAATGGCCGGGCCAGCCCAGTTAATGGTGCCCAAGGTCAGATGTCTGATACAGAAAGCATGGATTCTTTACCCCACCAGGGGTCAACAGTGCATCAACAGATTCAAACAGCCAGAGCGCTTGGAAATGCTTCCCGGAATTTAATCGCGCAGGAAAAGGAATCTAACCTACATAGATCTGACAGCTTTAAATCATCAAAATCTGAACGTTTGTACCCGACTTATATGCAGCAAAAGATGTCACCATCGACTGATATAAGCCGGACGGGGTCATTCACGAATGTTCATGGAGTCCCAGGAAACATGCCCTCACCCTCAGGAAGTACCAGCTCACGGTCAAGTTCACATTTTGCATACCCGTTGACGCCTTTCAGCTTAAGCTCCATGAATGGGGGAGGGAACATAAGATCGCCATCTCAATACAGTGACAGCATCACTATGGGCTTAAAAGATGATAGTAAGTGTCATATATACCTTTTTAAAGCTACAAATCCTTAATATATTATATACCCTTTTAAAGCTACAAATCCTTAATATAATAGACTCAAAAGAATCGTTTTGTATCGAAAACAGATGGTCTAACTCTTAAAAATGAATAACTTTCAGAGCTCCTTGAATAAATCGTTGGCACACCTAGTCTGCTAGTACATCTACTCAGTTACCATAGCAACCACTCTTATTGCTACCATAGTAACCAGAAATTGTTTGCAAACTACAACATTATCAAACAGTTCCGATCCATACTTTAATTCAGTATCATTTCTCACTCAAAGATTCTCACTTAGTACTGAGATTCCTCTTATGTATTAACCTTTCCTTATGAATACAGTATGTCATTTTATGCATTTATCCAACCTCCATATTCAGGGATGTAGACATCATCCACTCTTCTTTTCTTTATTGAAAACAGTAGATGATATCTAAATCCCTGGACTTGGAGGATGGCATTTATCCAGTTCTACAAGTTCTACTTTTTGATCTTGAACATAAAAAATATGTTTTGACCTATTAATCTTTTCTTACATCTTGATTGAAATGCTGTACAACGCTAATTAAATATCTGAAGATGCTTTACCTATGGTCTACTGCTTCCTAAATAGACCACCCAAAGAATACTTTATAAAAAAATTGTCTTTTTTATTTATGATTTCATAGGACATTTAGTCCTTGACAGATGGAAGGAACACATCTCAAAACTGTGCACGATGCGTAAAAGTTTAACGCATCCTTCTGGTATTCTAACCTTTTACGCCTAATTGAATAAGTGGCATTTCTCTTATTCTAAATTTAAAATTATTCATATTTTTGCACATTCGTTTTTATCTTTGAGACATATTTACATTTACAGATTCCACTTGTTGAGTTAGTTTCTCGTATTTTAGTTTACTGTTATATTTAGCCAAATTATCTCTTGTTTTGGCAAAATATTTTAACATTTTTTCTTGTAATGTTTATATATTTTACTCTCTAACTTCTTCAGTTACAAAATAAAGTTTTACCTCAGATAAAAGGTCATTTTTGTGTAAACAGGCACGTTTTGTGCCAAATCAAGATTAGAGAAATATTCCTTGATTGTTTTAAACTTTTTGTAGTAAAATAGATGGCAGAAGTGTAGCACTTTAAATCTGAAATAAGATTTGTTCTCTTGGATATCTCTTCAAGTCATTGGTATAATTTGCATTATTTGACCAGCAATTTATAAACAATGTTTCTTCAATAGATTAACATAGAGTCTCAGACAAGATGTACAATCTGAACTCCTTTGATAGGAGGCTAAATAGAGTAACGAGTACCTATTTCTAATTCATAACCTAAAATGACAAATGATAATGCCACTGAACTGAATTGTTCTACAAATCCCCCACAAATCCCCCTCCCCATTTCCAATACTGTATTGAAATGACAGTGATAGTGATATCATTACATACATAAGTATTTGTTTTATTTTAGTTCATGGTTCTGCGCTGTCACTTGCTTCCCAGAATTCCAGTGTCTACTCAACACAGGAAGACAAACAGGCATCGGAGGTTGGTATCGTTTAATAGATCGACATAATTTGTTTAATTTCAGATAATGTTTTCAATCTATTTCTAAGAAATTAATGATACTTATAGCATCATATTTTAAACAAATTACATGAAAATTATAAATCAAACAATATCAACAATCTGCATCAAAAATAACTAACATGAAATCCCGGGCATGAAATTTAAACAATGTCCGTATCTTAATCATCAATCATTACAATTTGTTCAAGAAAGAAATGAAAAATTAAGAATGTGCCAATCTTGACCAAATTTTAGTGTAGAAAAATGAAGAAAAGATTGTTAGGGAAGTGTTTTAAAATTAAAGGTCACACAAACAATATTTCAGCAATTCACTGGCTTATGACTTCATAAAACTAATTGAAAATACTTTGCAGGTAATTCTTCAGTGTTGATTATGCCACTGTTGATTATCGAAACCATAAATCGTAACAGAGAATAATAACTTCCTCAGTAAAAGTATTAAAGAATCTAGTTTGAAGAAGTGTGATTTCCCCACTTCAATATGAAATATAAAATGTGTAGTTAACGCATGGAATGTGGCTTGTTAGTTTGTTAAAAATTATAAAAAACAATGGTCATGTTTTCAAATGCAAAATTGGGTGTATAAGAAAGGAGCCAGCAATAAATTAAGTAAATAGACGATAAGTCAACATTCTAAATTATACAGATTAAGAAAATCTTAAACTTTATTCAAATTTTTGGGAGAAATTGAGTAGAATATGAAAATCTTTTGCATTGGAATTGGAAGCATTGTTGAATAGACTGTTTATACATATTTTTGGCATAATACTCTGGTGTAAATATTAGAATAGCAGAAATTCTGAGGAGGTACATTCGTGAGGAATTTTATAGACGCAACACATGTTTTGAGAAGATCTTAACAACCGACTCAACTCACTCTCAAATCAATATTTAAAAGTTGGAGGGCAAACTTTGGATCAATTTTCAACCTGGGAGAAAAAAAATCACAAAATGAGAGCATTTTTATCAGAATATATGGATCGCCCCTTGTATATCTGGTATATCAGTGGAATTCACGATATTTTTAGAAGTTGGATTAATTTCTAAAATACTGAATGTGCTGCGAGTACAAATATAATTCTAGGAACGTCTAAAATGTATTTTTTGAGTGTGAAAATCATGTACTTACATCATTGATCTTGATAAGCAACACTATAAGTGGATAAAAACAGGAAACTAAAAATTATATGACTTATCAGATTCAAGTTATATAAAAATGAGTATTTTAAGTAAATGACATTTTAACTTTGATAGATTTTATGATTTCATATGAATTACAAGGATTTTGAATATGATATAACTCGGAAGTAAAGTTACACAGGGCCAGCTTTCGAAATACAGAAAAATTGTAAAAAATAGCTGTCGGAGCAAGGAAAAAGGCATGTAGTCAAATCAAAATATTCTACAGGAAAGCCAGGGAATCAAATATTTCATGGAGTTTTAGAGAGAAATTAATGAAACTTGGGTGATAAGAACATTATTTTAAGCACAGGAAACAGTCTAAAGTACTCTTCCCCCTCATAGCAAATTGATAGCAAGATATTTTATTTTAACATTACATAACATGGGATAGACCTTCCTGTTACTAAACTTTGACATTTTTGTTAGAACTGAAAAAAGTAATAATTAGAAAATTGTGCTATGATAGCAAAAGCTTGTCCTTATAAATTGATTTTGAAGAAAATTTATTAAAAAGTGAGTTACCAACAATGGATTCACATGAAAATACAAGATTCTGGATTTATAACCAAAACACTGTTATTGTAAGTATTGTACACATGTTAATTATGATATCAAAAATGTGGTTGAAAAAGTGCAAACACCGTGAGAAAATTCAGAGAGAAATTAAAATTATGTAGAAACTTTTGGCAGAACAATATCTGATTGATACCAAAAGTCAAAAAATTTATTGATTCAAAATTTTTTTTTCAGATTCGTAAACTGCGACGTGAACTAGAAGCAGCGCAAGATAAAGTCTCAACATTGACAACGCAGCTTGGCACAAATGTAAGTACACGTCATACTTTTGTTACCTCAAAGTGGCTAGTACATATTTTCTTATTGTTGTTAATACTTTCTGATATTTGTGTTGGCCTTAGTATTAACACACTTGTTGTGAAATAACAGAACATACAGGTTTTAAAAAATCAGGCTTTATTTGTGAAAAAAAGAATGGCTAATCAGAAATTTGGATGGAAACAATTTATTCTATGCGTAATTTTTCAGATGCATTGTATATGTTACTTTAAATTGTTTAAATGTTTTGTAATTTGTTGTTGTCATTATTATTATATGTCATCATTCATCTCATATTAGTACATCATCATTCAGCATTCCATCTTATTTTGTATGTCCATCAGTTCTTTTTTGCTCAACTTATGTATCATCAAAAACCAGTAGTAAACAGTGTTGTTACAGTATTCTTAATCCAGTCTCCAGATTCTCCTGAGAATGAAAGATTTACTTATTACTGTATATGACAAGTAAATACCAAATGCTATAAAACTACTAAATGTTATATTATGTATTCGAACATGACTGTATTCAGGCTTTCTATAAACTCTGAGCAAAGTCAATGTTTCACCTGGGGCATATTCGAGATCAGTGCCCTGGCTCTGTACTAAATGTTTTGTTCAGTGCAAAAGCTCAACCGGAAGAAGAAATGATTGAAGAAGAAATGAAAAAAATGACAATTTTGCAATATTATGGTGAGTTTTCATGTTCGAATCGTAATATAGGCCTCAGAGCAGGGCTACTATTTTTGAATACATCCCTTAGGGCTAGGCACAAAAACTTTTGAAAACAGAAAACGTTTGTGCCAAGCCCTGCGGGGTGTATTCGAAAATAGTAGCCCTGCTCCTGGTCTATATTTCTTAATTATTTGTTGATTGTTTGATCTGTGCATTTAACGTGTCACAAATAATAAGTTATTGATATTGCTGTGGACTGAAAGTGAAGTTGATGATATTAGAGGATTAGATAATGGCATGGAAAAATATTAGTTCTTGGAAATTCAGATTTCATGAAAAAAAACTAAAATGTGTTACAGTAGTTGACTTAAACAGGTTGATATGTAACAGTCTATTCTAAAAAAAGATTTGAATTTTTTGTAAGTTCAAAAAAGAAGTACACAAGTGAAAGATCACTAGATAATGTAATTCAATATTATGTAACAGGACACCTATGAACATGTGGGGCAGTGTGGCATAAAAAAAGTGGTATAATTTGGGTTGGTTTTCACCTGGATAAACTTTTTGAGATAGTTTCATGGCAGATTAGACATTTACTATCAGACATGTCTTACTTACCTTCTGAAAGAACATCAAGGGGAATATGTCAAAGTTTGATAATTGTCGGTAAATCAAACAAAAGGTTTCTTTTCGTCATGCCTATTTTACTCAATTTTTCTTTAAAATTTGAATGAAGTGTCTGATTTGTTGGTGTTTCCATACAATTTAGAGTAATGACTAAATGAGAATTTACTTTATTCCTTGCTGGTTCCACTCTTTTCCACTATTTTTTGCATTTTAAATCATGACCGTCTTGACATTGGGTCGCTTAAAAGTATATAGGAGAAAACAAAAAGGTCCAGTTAAGTTTATCAAATATGTTGCAGGTTATCTAGTCATACGATCCAAAATTGAATTAAATGAAAGGAGGGGAAATATTTTGGAAGGGTTATCCATCAGATATCAAGATGAGAATCCAAGAAATTCCCTTAAAGGATATAACAAAATATTTCAAAAAGATCCCCATAGAAATTGACGTTTGAGAGTCCAAATTTTGACATCCCTCTACCAAATCTCATAAAATGCATTAGGCAATAAGAACTCGAGTTTTTACAAGTTTATTGTTCATATTTTATTAAAAAGCTTTAAACACCTGGAAATGCTGCACCGTTATTTTCTCCAAGGGTTTAATCTCTCTTAACTACTACACCTGGCTTTGGAATGACTTTTTTCAAAATACAATCCACATGTTACATATCACGTTTCAATTTCCATGCAGTCTGCATCTTCAAGTAATCTTCATCTTTAACATACCTGTATGCAACAGGCCCACATTCATCAGTTAGTGTGTGGTATTATATACTTGGTTATTACATGTGTGGTGGGAGTCTATCAGTTAGATCCTAGAAATCCGTAGACTTCAGAAACTTTTGATGGAGAAAAATGATGATGGTTTTGAGATGTTTCATGGACGTTTGATGGATAGATGAACGTTTAGGTATGTTGAGGGTCTGGATCTGGTATTTGTGAGAAATTACTACTTTACTATAAGAATCTGCAGCGATTGGAACATATGATTAAATCATAATATTTGGATGCTTGGATTAAGACATGTGGATACCTGAATAAGGATATTGTGATGTGTGAATTGTAACATATGGATATTTAAATAAGAACATTTGGATACTTGCTTTAGAACATTGGATACCTGAATTAAACTATTTCGATACTTGGTTTAGAACAGCGGATACCTGTGTTAGAACATTGGACCCTGGAATTAAGACATAAAAATTGGACAATTAATTTGGAAACAACTTGAATAAGATCATATTAAAAGCAGACATTTTGCAATACTCAAATCGTAAAGCATAATATTGTTCAAAATGATGACCACGGGGAGAAAAAAGAAAAGGTTACCAACAATAGAGGAGAAGAGATCTAACAGACAGTCTTGTCCTTTCCCATTTGAGGCAAGTATGAAAGTATATTTTAGGGGAGTGTAGGTGAAAATTAGGGGGAGGGGATCTGCGAAGTTGAGCTTGGTGCATACTGAAATTGATGAAAATAATACATTGTTATTATGTCATCACCGCAAGTGGTGAAATCTTGTTATAGTCTCCAACTTTTTCTGAATGGTGTAAGAAATTGGCATCCAGAGTTCAGTCGTTGGCATTTGGAGTTCGGTGTCGTTGACAAATGGCAAGTGGTGACATTTTGCATGTAAATGCCTTGTGTTCTTTTCTCATAAGCATGTCTCTCTTTTGAAACCAAAATGTTTAAATTCATTATACATGTGTTACTATGGTGATATGTTGAAGTGGTTTCAAAAGAAGTTTTTTATTCATTTTTTCCTACAATACTTATTCTGAATTCTACTAAATATGTTATTCAATTTTTAATAGATTCAGCCTCTTGCTAAAGCAAGTGCTCCCTGGAAAAAAGGAGGGAGTGGTACCACAATGCATTTATCATACAAAGAATAATAATGATATAATGATAAAATGTTGAAGGTTTAGGCCAGGTAAATAGTAGTGATATCTCCATTTTTTCTCTGTCTGTAGTATTACTATGTCAAGATGTTTCAAAAAAGAAATTGTTGGAAAAGGTTGGAAATTGTAAACACAAACAGTGATATTTCACTTCCTGCTTTCTTGCAGTTGTTTCTAAATGTCACCCCTTCCAAAACACAACCTAGTTGTCATAGTAATAAAGTACTATATATTAAAATAAATATTATATTTCATTCAGTTTCAAACCTTAAATGCCATGCCCTGTTATGCTACTTATTGCCGTTTGCATCTATGATTTTGCATTATTGGCATAACTTTAATGTTGAAGTTTATTTTTTCCTAACCACTAGGGTTTTTTCCAAGTAAACACCTGAGAAGGTGATGAGAGATATAAATTCATGTTCTTTATTTTTCTGTTGATTTGAGATGCTGTTAATTGCTACTGTCTACTTCAAGAACAGCACATCGTCTCAAAAATTTGATTCCCTACTTTTTCATCAGTCATTTATAAGTCTGAAATTGTTGTGCCATAGTCATATTGTTCCTTAGCCATATTTTGTCATAGTCATATAGCACCATACTAATCAGTAAAGACTATTTTGTGTCACATCTTTGCTGATATTAAACATGATGACCTGGTCAAATAAGCCCTAGTTTGAATAGTATTTCCCTACCTAGCTCATCATATGTTTACATCTTATATTTGAATAGAACTTTAGATATGTTTGAGTCTTGAAACTACATACTCTTTTATTGAGTTACAAACGGAATAAAACAAAAAATGTATGCTTACTATGTCATAATTACAAGATTGATCAAAAAGCTGGCCAGTCCAGATATTTTTTTTCAAAGTGTTCTGGTTCACTACTTACCATGTTTATTAGGTAAAGTTTCAATATTATCTTCATCAATCACTTACTAACCATAGCAACGGGATCATGTTTGTAGCCATGGTAACTCATATATTATCCAACTGTTGTAGGGTGGTTTCCAATGACAACCAGATATAAAATGATATTTCCAAAATAGTTGCAAAGGAAATGAAGCATTACATAGATTCACAGATATTATCGTCAAAGGAAGAATTGCAATTTTAAGAAAATCCAGAGAATAGGAATATAATTATATTCTAAGGGAATCAAAGAAAACTCCCAGTGAGTCAGAAGACTTAAGTTTCTCTACTCCAAGTATATTTAGATATTTATGAGGTCATTTTTAGAAATTTTATTTTCAAAGAAGTTCAAGTTACTTCAAAACTGAATGTCTGGAAATACTTGTTTTAAGTCTAGAGAGATATGATATTTTCGAGGATATGATACCCAGCCGGGGAAGGAAATGCTTGATAAAATATTCGGTAAAATACTCGAATTTAGGAAACTATATAAATATGCACACTGCACAGTGAATGATTTGATCAACTTAAACTTGGAGATAATTTGATAAAATTGTAAAGTAAAAAGGAGGGTGTGAATGCAAAAAATAGTAAGAAAATGGAATAACCTGATAGAAATAGCAGACATATACTGTAGACCAGTCAACAGGCAGAAACACAAGTCAACAGGCATACACTGTACTCCAGTCCTCGTGTATACCTTAGACTGTATATGACGTACCAGTCAACAACTATATGGTGTATAGACATACTGTTGACCTGTCAGTAGGCATATACACCTGAGATTCTAGACATACACTGGACTATTTACCAGTCAACAGGAATATAGACCAGATAAAATGCTCCAGAAATTATAGCAGTCAGTGAAGTACACCT